ATGCTTAATGAATAACAGTAACCGCAGCGTGCTGTGCTGGAGATGTAAGTGGTTCAGGGGGTAAGGCCGAATGCATGCGTGTGCATGTGCATGTGCGCGCTGTCTCCCTCTCTCCTCACCTGTACGTTCCCCTGAAGCGTACTTTCCCACGGAAGCTCCACTATCAGCCTGGGATCTCGTGAGGAAGCGCCGTTACAGAGGACTCGGGAGGCTAACTTACTGCCTTTCTGCATCACCTCAAGACCTTACACGCTGGTTTTCGTCAGCCTATAAATTCCTCATTAGAGAAATAAAAAATAAAAAAGAACACATTTCCACAACCACCACCAAGCCGGAGTTTTCCAAATTTCCTTACCATGTGACTTTCAACAGGATTCCGGGAACACATACCACTGAAATGTGCCTCTTCAACGCTATGAAATAGAAGTTGTACGTAGAACTGGCATGATGGATCCCTCGTCTTATGCCAATTGGTTGAACCAAGGAGGTGATATTTGATTGATATGCAGGAAGTGGTAAAAAAAAAAATACAGGAACAAGCCTCATTTCATCAGGATGCAATCTGTAACTGCGTGAGCCCAGAGTGCTTTTCCCCACCCAATGTCATGGCAAGTTCCACAATCCTTCACTGAGGAGGGACAGCATAACCCGGAGGGGGGGGGGCGCGGTGGGGAGCCCTAGTCCACTCATATATCAGATTGCATTCTTATTGTGAAAACAAAGGTTTTATAATGTCTACAGCATTAGCACATACAAGAGTGAATCAATCTTAATTCTGCTTAAACGCGGTGGCATTTAATTAACCAGAACCTACTAGAGCAAAAGAAGTTAGGCAAGAATTGCTAAAACACTGCAAATCTGTTCAGCGCTGTGTGTAGAAATAAGTGGCTGTAAAACCACAAAATTATTTTGCAGTTTTAAAGGCTTGCTCCTTTTCTTTTCCCAATTTGATTTTGCAGTTTCAAAGACTTGCTCCTTTTTTTTTTTTTTTTTTTTTTTTTTTTAAAGCTAGCAACTATGTTATACTAGCTCAGCTTCTAATGGCAGAGTCATCCTGTTAGAGAATCCCAAGTTGAATGGCTTTGTCTGTCATGTCTTTTGCTTTTTCCATTGGCTTTAGACCAGAGAGAGGGAGGAACTCCCTCTGCCAGGCTGACTCTCCTGACATCTCGCTTACCTGCACAGAGAACCTGGTGAAACAGGTATGGCTTCAGCTCACTCCAAATCTGTAAAGAATGTGACTGACTGTCCTTAGTCTGGATGAATGGATGTTACACAGAATCACTAAGATTCTTCTGTGCACTCTCCTTCTCCTCCTCTTTTAAGAGTAGTTCGCTTTCTTATACTTAATGTCCTCTGTATTCTGCCTGTCAGATCTGCAGGGGAAAATGAGGGTCCAAAAGAGCTGGAAGTAGACGGGGAAATTCAAAATAACGAAGCTTAGATTCAAAGAGCAAGCAGAAAACAGCATTATTTGGGGTGAGGGATGCTTAGAGTCCAGGGAAAATACTCAGGACCAAGGTGAAAGCGAGGTAACCAGAGGCCACCAATCCGGGCTGGTGGGATTCGCAGTTATTTCTTAGGTACTATTAAAGGAAGTCAACGGAACAGACATTTATGAAGCGCCTACTAGGCTTAGGGAAGCGCACAGCTGCTGTAGGAGATAAGACAAAGACGAATCAGATTTGGATCCTGCCCTCCAGGGGTTCACAATGATGCAAGAACCCTGAAGTCACTTTTCTTGTACACAATGTACTAATGAGACCAGTATTAAAGACCTGTATTCAGTGCTGATCACCACTTGTTTTTAATGTGGGGAAACCAGAGTGTTCAGGGGAGAGAGAGAACACAACACAGCCCTGTGCGGACAGAGCCGGAGACCCAGTTATTATCTTCAGGTGCACGGAAGGCTTTAGAGAAAGGACCCAGTGGAAGAAAACAGGTTTGGAGGACAGCAGGCGAGATTTCAGGCGGAGAGTTTCTTGACAATCAGGTTAATAGAATACAGGAATTAGTCAGAGGGAGTAACTAGTGTGGCCTTTTCCTGGAAAAAAATTTTTCCCCCCTGATAACCTGATAATTTCAGTCGAGAACATTCACCTTCCGAAAGGCGGGAGGGTGAAATACATTTCTCCCAAGGTCCTCTCCTGCTCTGGCTCCAAGCTCCCGAGAGGCAGACCTGGCCTTCTTCCTTAACTCCTTGCCTGAGGGACCTGCTGAGTGACCACCAATCCACACCTCCACCAACACGTGTCACAAACCACCTGGCAGGCATGGCCTCGGCCAGGCAGCAAAGCCAGGAACGAATCTTCCAGCAGCACTTACGCTGCACGGGACCTTCACAACAGCCTGTGATGCTAAATACCGGAAATGAAGAGTCTCCAAGCAGCATGTGCACATTTGAAACATATTTGCATTTATAAGGATACAAAATGTAAGTAATGAAACAGGAGGGTGAAATCTGCAAATGAGAGGTGCTCATTTCTAAGAGAATTTGTAGTAGCATTCTTTCCATTCAGAGATACTTTTTTTTTTAAAATTCCAAATAAAGGAAATATTTCAAGAGAAAAGAGGGAAACGGGATCTTCCCTTTATACCAGGGTGGGGAACCTTTTTCTGCCAAGGGCCATTTGGATATTTATAACATTGTCTGCAGGCCGTACAAAATTACCAACTTAAAAATGAGTTACCTTTAAGTATCTCACCCCTAATGCCGGGGCAGGGCCAGCCTCACATGGCCCATGGGGTGGACATTCCTCGTCCCTGCTTTACACCTTGAGAAACATTAACAGATGAAAATGATGAACTGGCACACACACACATGCCCACGAGAAAAACATGCACCTTGAGCCAGACCATGGGCTGGTGAGTCCATGTTCAGTTCTGACTTTGACTTCTCATACCCCTGAACTCCTCGAGGACAGGGACCGCGCATACATGTCTGTTAAAGGAACGCACGAAAGCGGTGCCCTGCCTGCGAAGTGAGGCGGCAGTGCCCCCTCGGGTCTGCTGGGAAGACAAGTTAATGCGCAGAGAGTATGGCACAAACTGAGTGGGGTCCAAGTCACAATTATCACCATGAACTTCAGGCCTGTCCTTTTCTTTTAGAGAAAAAAATAAAGACCCTCCTACTTACTCCAGGTCTTCAATTTCCTTTTTCTTTTCCCTCCCAATAGGGTATTGGCGTATGAACTTGACATTAGGAGTCTGGGCCTTTCAGGTTCACACCTTGTGGTGATTATTACAGTCAGCTCACTTTACTCTGAACCCTGTCTTTGACAGCAACCTGAAGTGCCTGAACTGTCAACATAAGACTACCAGAAAGCTCTGGCAAATACCTGTTCAAAGAACAATGAAAAATACCTGTTCAGGGAATAAAACAAGGTTCACGTATCATATCCTCTTGATCATCCCTACTTTGTTCCACCTAAACCTCGAAGGTGGTTCCCCAAGACTGGTTTCTGTGAGAGGAAGAAGGAAGGGAGAAGCGAAAGAACATACAGAATAAAATATGAAGACTATGAGCAGCTGAAACTTGCTCAAAGCACCAAGTTTCTCGCGTAGGAAAATGAGGTGGTGTGCACGCTGAGCCTGCAGGCGCCGGCTGGTGGGCGAGTGGGGGCCTCCCCTCGGAGGAAGCGCTGGGTAGGCCAGCCCTCCTGCCCCAGCCTGCCGCCTGGGTTAGCGATGGATCCTGATTAAGGGCAGAGGTCGAACCTTTCAGACTTTGGGATGCTTTCCCAGAGGCACAGCTGCAGCCTCTGAGACTCTGGTTTTGAAAGTGGCACAGAATGTGCCTCCACAGATGAGAAATCCTCTACCTGAAACCAGCGTGGCAGCTCAGTGGGAATCACGGATCTGGGAAGGTCACAGAGGGGGTCAAAAAGGGCTCTTTCTTCTGTGGCCAGAGGGGGCTTATTGTTGCTGGTGCCCACACTGGAAAGGGAATGGCAGGAGATTAATAATTGAAACGCTGCTATTATTGGTTTTCTGAACTGTGGGTTATTCTTTCCCTGGAGTCATCATGCCTGTAAGCACCAGCTCAGAAGATAGAGGGACTTAATACGCGCTGAGAAAAGGCCCACCAAAGCCAGGCCCTTTCCATCCACTCGTTTCTAAATGTGGGAAGTTCAGCTGCACGTCCCGAGTCATACGCAGCCTCCCCCTCTGATTCACATATTGCACGGGAATGCCCGGAACTGAGGTGACGTTAACAAGCCTTGATCACTGCTCAAATGTGGCAAGAATGAAAACAATATTTATACTTACTCATTTAAAAAAAACATAACACACAAACACAAGAAAAGATATTTTAGAACGTGTGTCATCCAATTATTTTAAAGGAAGATGATTCAGAGCCCATTTCTTGGTAAGGCATCTTGGTAGGTGTGTGGTTCAGGCTCATCCGACGGTAGATTTCAACACTCTGGGGAAGTCTGACTGTGTGAGCAGTCAGCGTGGCTCCTCTCAGGTACAGGGGAACACAGCTAACTTGGAATTTAGGGTCTTCTACTTCAGAACCTGTGGCAACGCAGGCCTTTGCGGTTGGCCTTTGCCCTACATGTTGGAAAAAGAGCCTTGCTAAGTGAGTCGATGGAGTAACCAACAATCGTGAGGCAAATGTTTAACCTTCTAAAGAAAACAAACCTTTTTAAAGAAGTTGAACCTAATCAGTACCGAGCCACTGCAAACTAATGTGCTATTTATAAACCTATCCTTAGAAGCAAATTGTGGAAGAGTGATTACACTCTTTGCCACCCAGTAATTCGCATTAGCAAGCATGCCCTGTTTGGAACGTCGGGCAGCTCAGAACGCTCCTCTCCTGCATCCGGGTTTTCACCCAACACCCCAGCTCGGGGCGACGGCACCCCGTTTACACAAATGCACACTCCTGAATTACCGCCCGAACGCCTCCTCACCTGTCTCCTGAGAAGAACCCCAGGCCCGAGTTCTTAGTAGCATAAAAACTATTAGAAATCACTCTTCCTGGTAAATTCTCCCCAAAGCTTTAAATGCATGTTCACAGCTGCTAACCACCGAGCAAATGTTCTCCTGAAGATGGGAACACCGGAAAAAGATGAAGAGAATGACTGACTAAAAAATTGTGAGAGTCCAGTCATGACCTGTGAACACCACACCGAGGGTATAAAAACTGTGGGAACTACAGAGCAGTAGCTGCGAGGGGCATGAGTCCCTTAAATTTAGATCACATCTTGCAGGCTGAGAGTTTGATCAAAGGGGTGGGAGAGGTTTTTTTTGTTTTTTTTTTTGTTTTTTTAAGGAAACAACAGATCCCAATGGAGTCACCTGTACTAATCCCCCAGTCAGCAAACCAAGGCTTCATATCTAACCTAACTGCAGTTTTAGCCTGTCCCAGGAATGTAATATTTAACCAGTTAATTTGCATTAGCTGGTCAATACTAGTGAGGTAGTCTTCTGTCTTCCATAGGTAGATGAATTTGCCTGAGATAATCCAACCTTTGATAGGAACTTCCTCTTTGAATAGTTGAATAAAGTCAATGAGATATTTGAACTTCCTCGGGTGATGTGTGTGTTTTTTAACACTGGCATCTTTCACTTTCCTCTCCAGGGCTCCTCTTCACCCGCAGGTACTCACAAGTCATTTGATATACGGCCACACCTGGAGATGAGGGAGATCATACCCCAGGGCTTGATCAGTGGGCACAGGAGCCGATGGACAACACCCTCTACTTCTGTACGTGAGCCAGAAGAGTCTGAGCTGCATCTTCCAGTTTCTCAGAGGCTTCCCAGCAGGATGGAACTTCAGTCACCCACAGCAGTGACCAGCTTAGGGTCACATCCATGTCTTTTCATCTTCTCTGTCCCTGTTTAGTCTCCCAGTGCCAGCCCAACCCCTGCTCATTTGAGTCACTCCCCAGAGTGATCGTCTTTACTAGGCCTTTGTATCAGGAAGAGCTCAGGCACAGAAAGTCATGCTACTTATGTGGGGGGTCTTTCCTTTTAGATTCCATCTCTCAATATAACATACTGTTACCCTATGTAATAAAAGCCTAATATGCAAATTGTCCCCTCTGGTGGGGTGGTCCTTCACTTGCTATGGTATGCATTGACTACCAGGGGGTGGTGTGGAACTAGGTGGGTGTCAGTGATAAGGTGCTGGCAGCAGGTGGTAGTGAAGGTGCTGCCGGCTCTGATGAGATCCAATGATAAGCAGGACTGCAGTGCGATGGTCGAGCAGGTGACTGGGAGGCACCAGACCAAGGAGTGTGCAATCAGGGGCCTAATTGCCCTGCAGATGGTGATTGGCAATGGGGGTGGGCCTGCTGCCCAGCTCCCCTGTGCTAAGGGAGCCAGGTAGGGGGCCCAGCCCTGATTGATTGTCCTGCAGGCGGGATGGTGGAGCAGATGAAGGGGCAGTTCCAGGCCCCTGTGGGGTGTCAAGCAGAGCTGTGGTTCTGCAAGGCAGGGAGCATGAGCTGGGGTTGTGAGCCTGGGGGCACAAATGGGGTCCAATCCCTGTAGGTCACTCTGAGGGACCCCATCCATGCATGAATTCATGCACTAGGACTCTAGTATATATCTTATCTAATAATGAGGGAATAATTGACCCTCACACCATAGCAAGAATGCAGCACTCACAGCCAATAAGGAAGGAATATGCTAATTGACTGCCCCACCCTCAAAGATGGCAGCACCCACAGCCATAAGATGGTGGTGCCCAGTCCCCTCAGCCCCCCAGCTGCCCAGGTCTGGCCCAAGGCACAGGCAAGCCTCGCATAGCAGCTGCCCAGCTGCCCAGGACTGTCTGAGGCTCAGGTAACCAGGGCTGGCCAATGCTTGTATTGCCGGCAGTGGCAGCAGCAGAAGTGTGATGGAGCGTTGCCTTTCCCTGATCTCCGGGTTGCCTTTCACCCCTGAAAGCTCCCAGACTATGAGAGGCAGCAGGCCAGGCTGAGGGACACCCCCCCCCCCCCCCCTCCAGTGCATGAATTTTCATGCACTGGGTCTCTAGTATATATATAAGTATGGTATATATATATAAAGTTATAAAGAATATCTCCTTTTCTTTATAGCTCCTTCAAGTTAAGAAGCTTCAATTATCAGATTACCCCAGTTTCTCTTAGAGCAACATCTAAGAGATCCTCAATAGCTGGTAAAGAAAAGATCTTACATTTTTTTCAAGTTGGAAGTTATCATTTGGAGGGTTGCAGTGAACTTCTGTATTTTAGAATACAGAAACAACATTTTGATGAATCTTTTAGTGAACCTACCACTACATTATGGTATGATGTGAAGTGAAGGAAATGAACAAACAAAACAAAACATATTGATGGATAGATGCAGAAAGCAGATTGGTGGTTACAAGAGGGGAAGTAGTCAGGAGGAGAACAAAATGGATAAATTTAGGTCTATTGTATGGTGACAGATGGAAACTAGACCTTTGGTGGTAAGCATCCTATAGTGTATACAGATGTTGAACCTCTGAAACTTATCCTAGTATAATGTTATAAGTCAATGCTATTAAAAGAAAGAGCCCTTGCCATTTTGCGGAAGGGGGGTGGGGGGAGTGGGTATACACAAAGTAACAATGGACATTAAATGGTAGTAAATTTTATTATTAAATGTCATTAGAGAATATATGTAATTGGGGGTCCTTTAAATTAGTCTCTCTTCTTATGTATGTTTTCTATATTTTTCTTAATATAAATTTTTATAAGTGCAAAACTTTTAAAAGAAATTATAAAAAATTATTGAAGATATTAAGAAGCACTAAAAGGAGAGATATACCCTGCTTATAGGTTGGAAGACTCAATAGTGTGAAATAAATGCTAATTCTCCTCCAGTTCAGCCCTAGTAGAACTGCCCCGGTGATTTCTGCAAGTTTTGCCAGCATTCCACGAGGGACGTCCTGTCCCAGGCAGCAGTTCTGCTTACCAGCCTCCTCCTCCTCCCTGGGAACAGCTTCTCAGTACAACCCAGAGAACCTCACTATCCAATTGGCTGCAACCACACCCCTCCAGTGAGGCCTGAACCGTCTTGGGTCCAGGGCCTCCTTCCAAGTTGATTTGTTCCTTAGATATTCACCTTCAGTCCTTGGATATTCTTTTTTTGTTGTCTTCTATGTCCTTGTAGTTGCAAATTCCTTATAAGTAGTTAACAATTTTTTATATTGTGTAGTCTCTGTTCATACTGTATGTGATTTGTGTCTTCTAAGTGGGGCTGATTGATACACTAATAAAGGTAAAATTGAGCTTGTACATATGTAATTTGTGTGACCAGCTATTTTGTGTGTGTGTGTGTACGTGTGTGTGTGTATGTGTGTACGTGTGTGTGTGTGAGAGAGAGAGAGCGAGAGAGAGGAACTGGCACATGTGTGGCAAGGACAAATACAACAATATTCATAGCCATGTTGTTTAGCACAATCTAAAACAGCAAATTCAACAGGAGACAGCTTGGCTGTGCGATGGGGGAGAGAGAGAAAAGTCAAAGGTATCTCCAAGGTTTTTAAGGTGAACAACTGGAAGGTAAGAGTTGCCATCTCTTGAGGTAGGCAGGCTTGGCATTTGAAGATAGTATCAAAACCGGTTTTAGGTATATTATGAGGCATCCAAATGGAGGTATCAAGCAGGCAGTGGAATATGCAAGTCTGGGTGACTAGCCTGGGTTGGTGTACATTTGGGGGAGTCCTCAGCATACAGATCCCCCACAGTCAAGAGGTTGGGTAATATCACAGACAAGGGTGACATTGGGCATGTCTTGGATGACTGCTGCGGTCTCACTCCCCCAGCCTCAGCCGTTACGCCCACCCTCTATCTCCACCGCCAGAAGGTCATCGTTCAGCACCCAGTGACCTTGTAAAAGCATAATTTCGATGCTGGGACTTCCTTGTCTCAGCCTCTCCAATGGCTTCCTGTTGCTTCTGGACTGAAGCCCCAACTCCTCAGCAGTGGCTCTGGCTGGTCCTCACACCTCCACCGCTCGCCATTCTTCTCTCCGGTTCTCTGCAGACCGGCCGGCCCCTGCGGGGTTGTGTTCTTTGTTCCCCAGACTCATGGATCTTTCCCATTTCCCTGCATCTGCACCAGCTGCCCCTCCTGCCGGGAGGGGAAACCTCATCTTTCTCCGCTCCGTCTTTTCATTGAAATTTCAGCTCCAAGGGCCCCTCTCTACAGAATTCCTTCCTGAACACTCTCTCTGGGCTACTTGGTCAGTAGTCACCCTAGCTGGACACTCATAGCACTTTTGATGGCATTGATGGCTGCCAGCCTCTTAGCTCCCTGCCTATCATCTGTCACCCCCCTTCGAGGCTCTCAGCGCCCTCGGGCAGCGGCCCGGCTTCTCTCCATGGTCTGTCCCCAATGAGGGGACTGCTGTGCCACCTGGCAGGCAGTCATATGTATTTTCTGAATAAACGTCTCACAGGACATTGCATTCTTTTTAGCTTCCAAATCAGGGAGAGAACCTTGAGCTGCCATTTTCATGTCGTCCACACTTTATCTCTCTTCACGTCCTTCCACTCCTTCACCAGCTCCCCCACGGTCACAAAAGCCCACAGTGCTCCAAAGATATTGGAAAGAATACTTTATTCCCAAGCCCGTGAGTCGGAAGATTGTGCAAAGAAGTCACTCTAATCTAAAGGTCCGCACACAGCGGAGCGCACCCAGGGACGCCGGGAGGTGGCTGACCGCCTCCCCAGCAGCTGCACCAGGAGGCCCGGCGCTGCGGGCGGCATGGGGGCGGCCCTGGAGCACGTCTTCATCTCCGTGGGGCTGCTGGTGTGCCTGGTCTACCTGGCCAAGTGGGCGAGGTTCTGCAGATGCGTTTTCCTGCACTTCTGGAAAGTTCTGCCAAGGTCTTTCTTGAAGTCAATGGGACAGTGGGCAGGTAAAGAAAGCGCTCCGCCTCTTGGGCTTCGTTGTTCCTGCTTATTATTATTATTTGTGTCTCAACAGGCATTCTGCATCTTTTTCCTTTGAGCAACGATGGGTGGTTTTAAGTTGGGTGGGGGAAGGGGGTGTCTAGAAAGCATGAGTAAAATTAGAACTGCTGGGCCGACAAGATGGGGTGTGCAGAGATTAGCTGGGGGTGTGTGTGTGAGGGGGAAGGGGGCGCTGTGTCCACCGCCCACATGCTTGTCCACGGTCCCCACTCTCTTCCTTGGGGAGTTTCTGATGACACAATGTAAATGCTGCAGACGCCCTGCAGCCTCCTCTCCAGATCGCCGGGGGCCCAGAGTGCCTCCGTTTTTGTTACAGGGTGTTTCAATAGTCTGAAATCCAAATAGTTTTAATGCACTTTATTAAAAAATTTTTCTCTGAGCCCTTTTGGGAAGTGAGGGTGTTACAAAATCCAGGCCACAAAGATGGCTGTGGAGACACCTTTGGAAGATAGGAGCTGGGTCTGGTGGGTGTTCCGAGTAGGCTAATTGCTGCCTCCTCAGGGGGCTTGTTCCTGGACTGCTGGGATGCCAGCCCATGTCTGGGTGTCAGGGAAAGAGCCAGAAGCTGTGGTTTCACATTACATTTCCAACTTGGGCACCAAGTAACCCAATGGCCCAGAAAAAAATAATGTAAGCAGCTTTAGAAATACCATGCCAAGCTAAATAGGAGAAATCGTAAGCAACTTCACAGGGCTGCCTGATGAAACACAGGATTCTCAGTTACATTTGAATTTCAGATAAACAAGTAAATTTTTAGTGTGTGACATCCCAAATGCTGTGAGAGACATATTTATACTAAAGAAAATATTCTTTGTTTACCTGGAAATCAAATTGAACTGGGCATCTCGCCTTTTTATTTGCTAAATTGGCAATCCTACAACTTTAGCATTGGAAGAAGAAAAATTTACGATGTGAAAATTATTGGGAGTGGAAATGGGCTTTGAACGGTGGCATGTTCCATTTGTGAATGCTCCCTGGCTCCTGGGCTGCGCGCTGGGTTCATGAACTTGCTAGGCGCTCAATCTGGAGGGTCTGGACCCACACACTCTGCTCTTACAGATGCAAGTGCCCAGGCCTGAGGGGGCTTCGAACTCTGTACAAGTGCTGCCCGTCAGTGCTGGGCAAAGCCCCTCTAAGAACACTCACTCCAAAAAAGTTCACAGGAGGCCAGAGACTTAGCATTTGTTGACTCAAAAAACATAATCTTAACCTGTCTTTTGGATAGTGTTATAATTAGCAGGAGTAAATGTTCTTGGGCATAGCCAGATATTGGGGAGATAATATAGTTCAAATAGTGTCGGGGAGGAGGGAGGAAGAGAAGACCTAGTTACTAGAGACTGAAATGTCAAGTCCTCGGGGCCCTGTGGTTGATTGGCTAATTATGTCAATGGTATGTCTTAATAGCCTCGTGGCTGCAAAGTCAGCCAGCCTGTGTTCAGATCCATCATCATCACTTTGGGCAGGATGACCTTGACCTAGTCAAGGATGTCCTCTCTCTAAGAATAACGATGGTCCCTACTTGTGGGCTTGTTTGGAATATTGAGATGAGGAATCTAAAACACTTGAGACAGTGCCTGGCAGAAAGGAAGCACTCGGTAGATGCCAGCCATTTACTGATGCCATTATCTTAATTGTAGTGCGGGCCCGGTCCTGGGTGATTTCTAATATTCCCGTAAGGGAGGGGAAGTGGTGAAGATAGCCCTGAGCGTGGTACTTCTAGTAAGGGAGACAGGTAACGGCCCGGCTTCGGTTAGAAGTACCTGATTAAACAGATGGCACCGTTAGTTAGCAGTGACTGGCTCCGGGTGCCTCTGCCAGTGTGGTGCTGAGAGCGTGCACGGCTTGGTCTGCTCTCACCTACGGTGTTGGATACAAAGGATTAGAAGGCCCAACTGCTGGTTATATAGGAGTCAATAAGGCCACTGAGCACTGACTCTTCACGCCCCTCCATTTTATTTCAGCCCCTTTTTGCATTTCTGTATTTTCCTTTGCTTAGTTCCCTGCCTTCCATGGGTGTTGATTGCCGTTGATCTGTGGGGGAGGAGAGGGGATGGGGGGTGTGGGGCGGGCAGTGGAGGGGGAACGGGACTTTGGAGGAACCTTGAAATGTCCTTACAGTGGCAGCTGGCTGTGGATAGAGAGATAGCAGGGTGCACTGCTTGCCCTTGATGAGTTAAGGCTTAGAAATGCCTAAGCTCTTATGGGGTCGGAAGGAACTGTTCCCTGGCTGGGGTGCTTTGTTTCACGTGGAGTGGGTTTTCACGGCCTCACCGATCCCTCAAAAAGAATAAAAAGAAGTTTCATTGTGAACATTTAGTGAGGGAAGTCAGGGGCTGGAAACTTCCCAGTTGAGTGCTGCTTAATATATATAATACATACATATATATATATTAATGTTTTTATTGATTTCGGAGAGGGAGAGAGAGAGGTAGAAACACCAATGATGAAAGAGAATCATTGATTGGCTGCCTCCTGCAGCCCACAACCAGGGCATGACCGGAATCAAACCTGTGACCCTTCAGTCCACAGGCCTACACGCTATCCACTGAGCCAGACCAGCTACGCCTGCTATGGAATAGTAAGTTACTTAGAGAGGTGGCCTGCAGGAAAACATGGCCAGCTAGAGAGAGGACTTGAAAGGTCAATTTTTCCCCTTGAAACCATTTCTGCTTTTCGCAGTGATCACCGGAGCAGGAGACGGGATTGGGAAAGCTTATTCATTTGAGGTGAGTTGTGTTCTTGACTTTCTCTGCCTCTTGTATTGAGCACATGATAAAGCAACAGACATTCATTATGAAGGAAAATATTTTCTATAAAAAAGGAAATTTGAAAGTCTTAATCTCACTCCCTGGATACCTTTAAAAAATGCAACGATATTCAAAGGTGGCAGTATCTCCCCTTGGGAGTTGTTTTACAAATATAGGGGCATTGCTATTATCTAGTGTAATTGTACCACCAGCATCATATTCTTCAGCACAATTTCAAAAAAGTATAACTGTCTTTTCTTTTATGTATCCTTTACATTATGGTTAGGGCATATATTGGTTTAAAACATTATTTGTGTACGCAGAACATATAGTCTATGACTTTAATTCTGAGAAGATTAATGGGCATTAAAACTATGATACAAAGAGAGGATCTGTTAGGGCTGAGTCACTGGAATATTAGTGACTTTTAGTATTTCTCTCCAGGCTTCTCGTTGCTCTTCAGATAGATTGATGGTTCAACTGACTGACTGATTGATTGATTGATAGATACCTAGGGAATAGATGGGTACCTTTCAAAATACTTTTATAGAATACACAGTCTTACATGCTATTATTAATGTATTGTTACAAATTCCATTTATAAAGCATTGCTTCCTGGAATTCCCATGTATTTTATTTCTTACACTGTAATAATACTAGTAAGAAAGAAAATATAAAAGAAGAAATAGAACCTTAGGGATTATGAGAATGGCTGTTAGTCTACGGCCATACCACCCTGAATGCGCCCGATCTCGTCTGATCTCGGAAGCTAAGCAGGGTTGGGCCTGGTTAGTACTTGGATGGGAGATGGCTGTTAAAAGATCAGTGACACCTTAAAAGTAGAATCAAATGCACTTGCGTTGTGAAAACTACATCTTACAGCAATGCGGTACCCAAGTGTTTTCTTGTCCCTGAAGCCTTCACCGTGACAGATGCTGAGCCGCCTGTGTGAGAGGCCAGTGCAAGGTGTATGGGCGGCACTTGCTAGACACTTTTGGGACTTTAACGAACCTAAACTCTTCCAGTTAGAAAAGCTCCTGGTGCTGGTCTTTTGGGACTGCCCCGCCCCATCCTTTTTCCTCTGGCGATAAGTTCTTGGACACAGACATCCTGCTTCAGCTCTTTGCTTCTATCCTAACTCGTAATAACAGCTTTCTGATGGCCAGTGGTGCTCAACGCTCAGCAGGTGAGTGGTCATATTTGAGTGTTGAGGTTGGGGAGACTGTTCAGCAACCACTTTCCAAAGTCTCGTGTCTTCCACTCCCCAAATCAGAAGGAAAATTTTTCTAGCTGTTGGCATTAAAGCTGTTTAAAAAACCTTTTATATAACCATTTCCACCTTATACCAGGTTTTTGGAAAGGGCCTCATCCCTCATCCAAAAAATCCACCGCCTCCCCTCTCAGTTCTCTGCATTGCCAAGAAATGTAGGTCCTTTATGATTTTCCAGATTCTTTCCTCAAATTCATGCTGATTTGGCCTGCTTGTGGTCCCCTTGATGGCTTGAGACTCAGATACTTGACTTTCTGTGGAGGAGACCTGAATGGATGCTCTCCTCAGCATTCATTTTCTTTACTGTTTCCAAAAGCAGTGGCCTGCGGGTCAGATGCTGTGGGTCCAGCCCTCACTCTGGCACTCACTGTCTGGAGACTTTGACAAGTTACCCATTTCTGGGCTTCTAGTCTTTACCAGCACAAGTGACACCTCCTAAGAGCCTTTAAGTTGTAAATTCTGTTTCTATCCTAGACTAATTCTTGCTTTGCTCTTCTCCTTGTGTTACCCTTTCCTTTGTTCTCTTTTGTTCTTTCCTAAGGCTGTTAGACAGTGTTCTGGACTTCCTACCTCCCCTTCATGCAGGCTTTTCTCCTTCCAGTAGCCTGGTAAGTGCTACTCCAAGGAGAACAGTGCGGAGACTGGGGTGCTGTGGACTGTGATGTCTAGGAGCCCCAAACTGGGAAGCGGTTAGACATCTTTGTGTCAAACCCTGCCTTCCATGCTCCCTGCGGGATCTCCACAGCAATAAGCTGGAGGTGATGGCGATCCCACTGGGCTTTTTAAAGGTTAAATGGGAACATGGATGGTGATGAGGAGGAGGTCCTTTGCATGGCGTAAGCTCTTCAAGGTTAGCCACTGCTATTATTGTGTGTTTAAACTATTTTCTTTACTACATATTCTTTTTTTTTTTTTAAGGAGGAGGAGGAAATGGACTGTACTTAACATATTTTTAATCTTTCCATTGTTCTTCCTCCCTGATGCTCCAAGAGTCTTTCTTTTAAAAAAAATATTACACACACACACACACACACACACACACACACACACACATATATGTAAAAAACAAAAGGGCAATTATGCTGATTAGACTGGGCATCTTCCCAACATCATTCTGGACATCCTTCTTGATGAAGCTGAGGCCAGAGGGAAGCCAGCCTGGGTCCCGGTGCCTGTGGGCAGCCGGAGGAGGGAAGCAGCCCAGGTCCTGGGTGCCAGGGGGAAGCCAGTACAGCAGCAGTGGGAAGGAAGGCCTCCTCTTGCACAAATCTTCGTGCATCTGGCCTCTAGTATATATATATTTCAGAGAGGTGGGAAGAGGAAGAAGGAAGAAAGAGGTAGGAACATCCATGATGAGAGAGAATCATTGATTGGCTGCCTTTTGCCCACTCCACACTGGGGATTCAACCCACAACCCGGGTATATGCCCCTCACTAGGAATTGAGCCATGACCTCTTGGTTCTTAGGTTGATGCTCAACCACTGAGCCATGCAGGCCAGGCCCAAGAATCTTTCTTTTGTTATTTCCTTTCTATTAAGAGAATGTCTTCAGCTAAAAAAAGTCTGCTGGTGACAAATTCTCTTTGTTTTCCTTCAAGAGAGAATGTCTTGACTTTTTCTTTGTTCCTGAAGGATACTTTTGCTGGATAATTTATGGTTGATAGTTCTTTCTTTCAGCACTTGCAAAATGTGGTGCCACTCACTTCTGGCCTCATAGTCTCTGATGAGTCTGATGTCATTCAAGTTGTTTTTCCCCTTTAAGGAAGGCGTTGTTTTTCTCTCTCACTGTTTTGAAGATTTTTTTCTTTGTCTTCAGAAGTTTAGTTATGAAGTTGCTTGGTGTGAATTTATTTGGGTTTATCTTGTTTGAGGTTCTCATAGCCTCTTGAATGTAAGTTTACATCTTTTCACAAAGTTGGAAAGTTTTCATTCAGTATATCTTCAAATAGTCTTCCTGCCCTCCCCTCTTCTGATTACAATGACATGGATGTTAGATCTTTATTATAAGTGTCTGAGATGCTATTCATTTTTTTTCTTAGTGATTTTTCTCTGTTGTTTTTATGGTTAATTTCTATTGTTTTACCTTTAACTTCACGGATTCTTTCCTTGGTCCCCTCCATTCTTCTATTGAGCCCATTCATTGAATTTTTAATTTTGTTTATTGCATTGTTCAGTTCTAAAATGTCCACTTTGTTCTTTTCTCATATCTACTATATATTTGCTCACACTTGGTATTTTCCATGGGCTTTAATTGTGTTCATTCTTTTTTTAAAAATATATTTTATTGATTTTTATACAGAGAGGAAGGGAGAGAGATAGAGAGTTAGAAACATCGATGAGAGAGAGTCATCGATCAGCTGCCTCTTGCACACCCCCTACTGGGGATATGCCTGCAACCAAGGTACATGCCCTTGACTGGAATCAAACCTGGGACCCTTCAGTCCCCAAGCCGACACTCTATCCATTGAGCCAAACCGGTCCCAGCAATTGTGTTCATTCTTGCCCAGGAAGGCATTTTTATGATGGCTGCTTTAAAAGCCTAGTCATATATTTCCAACATCCAAGCCACTTCATTGTTTCATTGTTGGCATCTGTTGATGCTTTTTATTTCATTCAGATCGAGATCTTCCTGGTTCTTGGTGCATGGTGGAACCAATTTTCATCCATTCCGTATTACTATACATTTTAATATAATATTTATGTAAAGGATGCATTTAATATAATTTAAAGTATTTTTACTTCTTGTCACTCTGATGTGTGTAAGTAAACCTGCACTCTTGGCTGTTCATGCCTAGAGAATGCTAGAAGCAAAATGCATGACTAAGACTGTCTGGTTTTATGCCTCCACATCTAGGGCAGCTCTAGTCGCACCCCAATATCTGGGATGGCATGGTTGCGGGCACTGCTCCCAGCTCCAGGGTGGCAGACAAGGGCAGCCAGACTTCTCTTTCAGACAGCTCTCCTGGAAGCTAAGGGAACAGCCCAGAGCTGGGCGTTGGAGTAAATTCACTTTCCAGCTGTGCTTCAGACTAGCCCAAGAAAAATAAGTGCCTTCCCTACTCTTAACTGTCAGCACACATCTACTGGGCAATGTATGATGGTGCCTTACGCAGTCTCAGCAAGGAAATTCTTCCTCCTAATGTTTAAATTACTCGAGTCTAAATTATTCTAGCTTTGCGCTCAGCTTCTTCTCTTTCATCTTGCTTTAAATGAAAACAGTAGCTTTTAATTATTTTTATGTTCCCCTTGGATTCATTGCTTTGTTCCTGGGTGGCTTGCCTTCAATCCTATGATTTCTGATTCAGGTTTTGACTATCCTAGGTTTATTGTACTATTCCATGACGTGTGTGTGTGTGTGTGTGTGTGTGTGTGTGTGTGTGTAATGCATAGGCGTGATTACAAAAAATAATAAAATGAGTACTGTGTCCCTTATCACCCAGCTTAAGAAATAGAACACCAGCCCTACCCGGTTTGGCTCAATGGATAGAGCATGGGTCTGTGGACTGAAGGGTCCCAGGTTCAATTCCGGTCAAGGGCACATGCCCAGGTAGTGGGCCTATCCCCAAGAGGGGGCTTGCAGTAGGTAGCCAATCAATGATTCTCTCTCATAATTGATGTTTCCATCTCTCTTCCTCTTTCTTCCTCTATGAAATTAATAAAAATATATTTTATAAAAGAAATAATCACTTGCATCCTTGAGGCATTCCATA